GGACAAGTTTGATCCTAAAATTAATATACAAGGGGCCCAGAATAGCCAAAACTATCTTGAAAAAGGACAAAATTTAAGAACTCACACTTCCTGATTCAGAAACCTACCACAAAGCTATAGTAATCAAGACAGCTTGGTACTTATGTAAGGATAAACATTAGATATATTTATGGTCAATTGATTTCTGACAAAGATACAAAGACCATTCAATGGGGAAAAAATAGTCTTTTCAACAAATGGCGCTGGAACAATTGGACATCCATATGTAACCACATACTTCAAAAATATACAAAAATTAACTAAAAATGGATCAAAGACATAAATGTAAGAGCTGAAACCACAGTGTTCTTTGAAGAAAACAGAAGCCTTTGTACGTTGAATTAGGCTGTTTTGGTTTTTTTTTTTTTTAGATATGACAACAAAAGTTCAACCAAAGAAAAGTAAATAAATGGAAATACATAAAAATTTAAAAACTTTTTATATAAAAGGTCACCATCAGAAAGGTAAAAAAGACAACCTACCAAATAAAGAAAATAATTGAAAAATATATATCTAGAAAAGGTTTAATATCCAGGATATATAGAGAACTTTTACAACTCAACAATGAAAAGACAAATAACACAATTAAAAAGTAAGCAGAGGATATGAGTATAAAAAAAAGAAGGGAATGTTTATGTATGTGTTTGTGTGTGTGTGTGTGTGTGTGTGTGTGTGTATGAAAATACATTTTACATAATTCAGATTGCATTGTTTGCCTGCAAAGAACTGGATACCTAGGAAAGAGAATGTTTGTGTAGTTAGAAAAAGATTTCACTGTAAGCCCTTTTGTAACTTGAATTTTTAAGCCATATGAATGTATTTTCTAATTCAAAATAAATAAATAAAATATAGATTTAAAAAATATTTTTTAAAAAGTGAATGAATGAGTCATATAGGGCTGTGGGAAGAACACTGGCCTAAGTTTACAGAAACCTGAATTCCAGTTTACAGAAACCTGAATATATGGGTAATTTCTTACCTCATCTGTTCAGTCTCCCATTCTCCCTTTCCAAACTCTATGCATATTTTACACAAAGCATGTAGACTTAAGAAAGGTTCATATGTGAGGATTCTGAACAATGAAAGGTCTCAATAGAAAAAGCTGAATTCATGTTTTTGTTTGAACAAGTTTCTAGCAGCAGAACAAGCAGCTGGAGTACCCTGGAAGTGTTAAGCAAAGTTAATCTCTCCTTCTATCAGTAGGTGGCGATAGTGAGTACGATAATGTTCAAGCCAGACTTTTGTTCTAATGGACACAAGAGCCTTAGAAATTTAGAGCCTTATCTGCTCAATTCCCATATTTTCCAGAAGTGAGGCCCGACTCTGAAGATTGACTGACATGGAAAAGAATGAAATCCACGTCTCATAATTTTTAACTCTTCCACTCAGCTAACTACTTTAGTAAGCTGAAAAACTAAAACTCTCAACTTCTTGGGAATATGAAGTTCCATCACTCAGTCTATACTTGCTTTACGCTTTATGCTTTTCTTTTCTAATCTGAAGTCAAATGATTATGGGAAGGTGGTCTCTCAATGTTAAAGCATGGTTGCTCAATTCACAGATGTGGCTATTAACTAGTTCTTTCAAGTACCTAATTTTAAAATAAAAACATTTTCCTCATTTTATTGTCTAAATTATGCACAACAAATGACTTGTTTCAGAAATTAAACTTTTCTCCCTATTTTCATTTTACATAGGCAATTCCTAACCTGAAAATTGGTGGGTGATTTTTTTTTTTTTAATTGAAATGTTAAGGAACAACCTAAATGTCCAAAAATAAGAGAGATCGTTCAGGAAATATTTTTAATAATTCTAAGTAGCAATATAGTGTGGTGGTTATGCAGCCACACAGCCCAGCTCAAATCCTGGACCACCCCTTACTTACTTGCCTTGTGCTACTGAGCAAGTTTCTTAACATCTTGAGCCTCAGTTTTCTTGTTATCAATAGGACTGGTAACAATAACACTTCATCAGGTTTCTGTGAGAATGTATCCAAGTGCTCAGCACAATACCGATATGTAGTATCTGAGGACAATGAGGCTTCTTAACCCTTTGAGAAACAGTAATTCCTTTAAAAGAGGATGTTTTCTAACTCAAGGAAATTTCCAATTGGGTCTCATAAACTCTGTGAGAATAAAACGGAAGAAAAGTCACACAAAATGCTTGGGGAGGCTGGCTTGCTAGGCCTAGTGGTTTCTAAACTGTTTTTGGAATATCCAGCTTCTAGCCTGCCTTCACTTCTTAACCACAGGGTTCTCTAAAATCGCGTGGGGGTTTTTTGTGTGTGTTTCCCCCCCAGATGAAATGTTGGTGACTGGTTGGGGAGGAGGATGTTACCGGACAGGACAAAAGCAGCCGATTATATGAACATGCTTTTGAAGTGCAGTATTTGCTTTCCTGTTCAAGTCTGTTGGAAAGGAGGAAGTTAGAGAAATGAAATGGCCCTCCCATTCTTCTGAAATGTGAGTCCAGTCCTCTTGCTTCAGAGCAAATGCAGGACCATTTTGGGCAGACTTTGCCTTCCCTCCTTTCCCTTCTTCTTTAAATACCCCGTTAGTCCTACAAAGCATCCAGGGTAAGATCTGCATCACAATAGATATTCCTGATTATACTTTTCAGTCCAAGTTGGAACTATGGAGAGTATGTAGGTCTGGTGGGGAAGGGAACCAACCCTTATCTCCATTGCAAACCTTGGCTACCACTATTTCTCAGACTGTAGTACAATCCTCTCTTCTTTTTCTAGAAGTCTTCAGACCACTGTGGAAATCTTATTACAAGTAAGCGCTCCCTCTTCTTGATTTCAGGGCAGCATGAGGCTAGGGTTGATTAGAAAAGCTACAGGAACACAGATTTGAGAGGGCAGGATTCAAGATTATCCCCCTGGGACTCGAAATATGCTTATTAAATAGACAGTACATATACCTATATGAAGGTATGCATGTGATCTCAAACAGTTCCCATTTATTGTATTTAATATGGTCATGATAACATCAGGATCTTATGAGAAATGTCAATCATAATCAGATTAAGAAAAAAGGTCCAATGTTAGAGGTCTGAGATCGCTAGTGGGTGCAGGAAAGGCATAAGCCCAGCTTAAGTACTTTCTAGCTGGGTGATTCTGAACATGTCATGTTATGGTCGTAGGTAGGTAGACAGACATGAGCAGAGCAAGGAAGATGGGCCAGGTACAGAAGGTCACCATGGAAGAAAGCCTAGCAACAGACACTTGTGAGAAGGGACCTTGTCTCCTGGGCAACCTTTCCTATCCCAGCATATTGCGGTTTAGACCCCCTCACCTTTCCTCTCTAGGGATAACTTCTATAACTTTCCTCTCTAGGGATAACTTCTATAACTTCTAGGCCTCAGTTGTTTCAGCTCCAGGCCTAAAAAAGCAGCAAGGCCAGAACAAGCTGTGATGACTAATGACACACTCCCCCAACCCCTCTGCAGTTGACCAAACAGTAGAGACCAGGATCCTGAAAAGACACATCTGGAAAACCGATGAATAGTCTGTTGAGATCCTCCCCTGGGATGTCCCCTAAAATCTCCTTAAGAGCATTTAGGACGGGGACCCTGGCCCAGGAGCCTGCCTGTGCCTTTTCCTTTCACTGCTCCCTCCTCCATCCCCAGCCCCCACTCAGGTGAGTAAGTTACCTTTATCTTCTTCATTCTTGAGCATCAAGAGCCCTGCTTTCACCTCTGCAATTTATTTCTGAAACCCATTTCTTCTACCAGTCACTTCCTCCACCTCTGAGTTTCTAAATGAACGTTCTCTTATAATGAATCTTGGCTCCTACGAGACCCCAGTGGTCTAACACCTGTTGCCTTTCTCCAAGCTGCCAACAGAACCTCTATAGGTTGTCTCATTTGTAAAGGGGGTTAAAAATAAGTTACCTCATGGGCTGTTTAAGAATTAACTTTCAAAACAGTATAGCAGTCCTGGCCCTGTTGGCTGGTACACCAAAAGATTGTGGGTTCGATTCCTGGTCAGGTTTCGGGTAAGAGAGGCAACTGGTTGATGTTTCTCTCTTCCTCTCTTTCACATTAAACAAACCAAAAACATGTCGTCAGGTGAGGGGTGAGATGAGGATTAAAATAAATAATAATAATAAAAACAGTAAAACAGCCCTGGCCGGGTAGCTCCAGTTGGTAAGAGCATCGTCCCTATATGCCAAGTTTGCAGTTCAATCCCTGGTCAAAGCACATACAAGAAAGAACCAATGAATGCATAAATAAGAGGAATATCACATTGACGCTGGCCTCTTCTCTCTCTCTCTCTCTCTCATCAATCAATAAAATATTGTAATAAAACAGTAAAGCACTACACAAATGTTCTTGATATTCTTGTTTTCTAACATCTACGCACACTCTCCACAAGTATACTTCTCTCTATTAACTACAGAGAAGTTTTTAAGGAGACGCTTTCAGAGTCCGTGAGGATGCTCAGAGGGGTTATGGATACAGGTTGAATCTGAAACGTCAGCAGCCCAAGAAACCGGAAAACATCCATCTTTGATGGGACAATTCCCAGCCCCTGACCGATGGGTACACAGGGGACCAGAGTCCCGCCCCTGAGGGCGCTCGCATTTGAACTTGGCCCCAGGTTCGCGCTGCCCACCTCTCTGTGCCCGCCAGCTCCCAGCCATCCTCCACTCCGGGGCCGCCCCGCAGAGCCCATCCCGACCCTCCCGCCGGCCCAGCGCCCAGCACCCAGCACCCAGGACCCCCCAGACGCTCCACGCCACCATCGGAAAACGAAACACCGACCCCCCTCTCCCCGAAGAGGCGGGGCGAGGGGGTGGGGAAGGCGGTCGCCTCGGGCAGGCATGCGCACAGCCCGCCGCGGGCTCCAGGCCCGAGAGGCTGGGGACGGCGCCGCTGGGGCGAGAAGCCGCCTCGCAGGGACGCAGCTCGGGGCCCGAGTGGCCGGGCCCCGGCCGCCTGGCCCCGGGGCGCCGTACCTGGTAGCGGCCGGTGAGCAGCTGGCTCCGCGACGGCGTGCAGAGCGGCTGCGTGTAGTAGTTGTCCAGGCGCACCCCGCCCGCCGCCAGCGCGTCCAGGCGCGGCGTGCGCAGGCGGGCGCCGTGGAAGCCCACGTCGTGCCAGCCCAGGTCGTCCGCCAGCACCAGCACCAGGTGCGGCGGGCCCGCCCCGGCCGAGCCCGGCGGCGGCCGCAGCAGCAGCAGCAGCAGCAGCAGCGGCAGGAGGACGGCGGGGAGCAGCGGCCGCGGGCCCATCCTTCGCCGCCCGTGGGCCCCGCGCCTGTGGCGCCCCCGGCCTCCGGCGCCGCTTTTAGAACCAGGAACTGGGCGGCCGCCCCGCCCCGGGACCTCGCCCCGAGGGCCTCCGGCTGCTGGGCCTCCGGCTGCCGGGCCCCCCGCGGTCTCCCCGGCCCGGCCGAGCCAGTGGACCGAGCGGGGGCGCTGCAGCCGGCGCCGGGGACACCGCGTGGGTGCTCGATGGGGGTCAAGACCGCTGACCTTTCCAGCCGGGAACTTGGCACCGTGGCATCCAGCAGAGCAACCGAGTTGTTCAAACACTTTACAAAGCGTTTTCAAGCCCTTTTTAAATCTGGCAGCTAGGAATTATAATGCCCGTCTTGTTGTTTTTTGTGTGTGTTTTTAAAGAAATATATATTATTAATTTTTCACAGAGAGGAAGGGAGAGGGATAGAGAGTTAGAAACATGATGAGAGAGAATCATCGATGAGTTGCCTCCTGCACACTCCCTACCGGGGATGTGCCCGCAACCAAGGTACATGCCCTTGACAGGCCTGGGACCCTTCATTCCGCAGGCCAACGCTCTATCCACTGAGCCAATCCGGTTTCGGCTGCCCATTTGCTTTTTTTTTTTTTTTTTTTTCCAGAATAAACAGTCTTGTAGTTGGTTGAGCCTAACCTAAACTCACTTCTGTCTCCAGTTCCTGAGCTACGATGTTTGAAAGGAGTGGCAGAGTCTTCTAGCAAAAGTCCAGCCCCGTGCGGACGGGAGGACGATGAGGCAATACTGTAGTATGAAAAGTCGTTTCATATTCTGTTAATGAATGGTGTGCACCTGTGAAGCGTTGCCTCCCCACGAACAAAAAGGGGATTCCACACACACTCCTACTGCACGGTGCCCTTTTGAAGGTGCAGGTTTACTCGGGCTTCCCTTGGGGCACCGTGTGGGCATTCAGTAGCTCATTAGCTTGTCCAGATAGGAGCTCCTTCAGAGCTGGCTCCCCAATAACCCAGTAGTAAACCAAAAATCTAGGGTATCTCATTTGCCTGGAATAATCTGTCAATGGAAGGAAATTCCTTTAACCACATGCTCACTGAATGGGGAAGTTAGCCTTATGACCAGTATGTTCCCATTGCCATCCAAGACTTTCTGCATACCTGGAGATAGAGAATAACAGTTGCAGTAGGGTAAAAAAATAACAATTAAAAAAAAATTAGGCCCTGCATCCCTTCAGGGTGATGAATCTGATTCCATGGGAGGTGTTTTACAGCTTTGAAAGTTGTAGGTAACTGATAGCAATGGAAACTAATTTTTGTTTACACTATGCAAATGAATTCTATCCAGTGGAATGACCCCCCACCTCCACCCTCACCTTCACCTCCATCCTCACCCCCATTACCATGGAAAAAACAGTTTTTACCTCCACTTGCACATTTAACATTACTCATCTGTTCTTTGGATGAGTTTAATTGTCCTTTGAACTGGTTTAAGACTGTACCAGTTTCCTAATTAATGAGTTAACTAAAATATTTAACATGTATTCATTTTCATGTCTGTATAAAGGTCATGATTTTATCTTTTTTTGAAAACTCCTTGAACACAGTGAATGTTTTTCTTTTGCATACATACATATTTTTTCTTTGAGTGAAGTAGATTAGTTTATAATACATCCACTTATCAACTCTGATAAATCAATAAAATTTAGCAGAAAAATGTTTAAATGTAGCTTTAAAAACAATAATTGTAAAGAGCTGTTTGATTCTCATTATGTTAGGACTTGGAAATGCCATGTGAAGAAGACCCTTTAGGAGACCATGAAGGACTGAGAATTTTTAACTATGGCCCTTGCATGTCCTTTTCTCCCAAAACTGTACCTCCCCACTCTTCCTGATAAAAATCTCATTGCCCAATCCATGGCTGCTAATCTGCAGCTGCTTCTGAAACTAGCTAAACTTGCAGTGAGCTTTCTCATGTCCTTCATTTTCAAATAAAAGTTTATTCCAGCACTGCTCTGGAAGTGTGCAAATGAATTCATTAAAGAGTTAATTCTGTTTTTCATCCGTATATCAAACACTCAAATGTGCATGACAAACTAGTTAATGTAAAATTTCTCAGTTGGAGTTTGTCTGACGTTTCCCAATGATTAAACTTAGGTTATGGGTTTGTGTAGAAATATTGCAAGAGTGATAATGTATGTTCTTGATGCTGCATATTAAGGGCTACATGATGTTGATTTGCACTATTATTTGAACACTTTGCTAGGTGGCCACTGCACTGCAAAGTTACTATTTTACCCTTGGCATTAATAAGTATTTTATGGGGAGATACTTTGAGAATGTGTATATTGTTATTCTTAAAACTATTGCTTATTCTAACATCCACTAATTCTTCTTGCTTTAATAAATTATCAGTATGGTTGACAAGTGATGATTTTGTAAATCAGTCATTCCTTCTTTATTACTTGCCTTTCTTCTGTAAAGAAGAACTTTCCCTACTCCCCACTTACTCATTTATATCACCATGAACTCATCAATTCTTTTCATCAATATGCTAAAATACTTTGCTATAATTACTTCAGTGCGCCAGTTTCCTCTGACTTGGGCAGTGGCGCCTCTTCAGTCTGGCTCTCACTTCCTTTTGCCTTGTCCTCTTTAATCCTGGAGCATGTCCTTGCTTTTTGATACAACAAAATAGTCTAGGTTCATCTTGTACTTTTCCTTCCCCAATCCTGGAACCAAACATTTCTCCAAGGAACCTCAATTCTTTTTCATAGACACGGGCACCAAGAAACAAAGATTTGTGCTATAGGTGTGCTCATTGCTACCAGGCTGTCAATGCTTCGAGGCTATCTCACTAGACAAAGATAGGAACTAGGATGTATGTAGTATATACAGACACACATACATAAGTATATATACACACCTACACACCGTATCAGTACAGATCTACAGGGGGAAAAAAAAACACCACTAGTTCATAGTGAATACCTTCAGTTCTATTTCTCATATGCTTAACTTCCATAAATACTTGGCTCTTTTTCTGGACTTTCTGTTCTATTCCACTGGCCTCTCTGTTGACTCCTGCACCAGTACACACTGTATCAGTTACAGGCATTACATTGTGTTTTAAGGTATGGTATGAATAGTGACTCCTTACAGCTTTATATTTTTAATTTTTTTTCTGGCTATTTCTGCATATTTATTTTTCTTGAAAATACGTTAAATTTATAAATTAAGGACAACTGAAGTCTTTATGATATTAACATTTTATTTGTTTAAAATGTTAACTTTTATTAAAGCCTACTTTTTAAATTAAAAACGTTCTTTTAGAGACAGAGGAAGGGGGAGAAGGTGAGAGAGAGAAACATCAATTTGCTGCTCCACATACTTGGGCATCCATTGGTTGCTTCTCGAGTGTGTCCTGATCAGGATCGAATCCACAACCCTGACACATCGGGACAGGGCTCTAACCAACTGAACTACTTGGCCAGAGACTATTAAAGTCTATGTTTGTATCTTTTAAAAGTGTTTTAAGATTTTCCTCATATCAATTTTGTGCCTCTCTTGTTAAATTTATTCCTAAATATTTTATCTTTCCTGTTGCTATTGAAAGGGGGCTTTCTCTACCATTGTATCTTTTAACAGGTTATTATTTATGGACATGAAGACTACTGATTTCTGTGTGGTGACTTACATTTCACCAAGTACTGAATTATTTTACTGTTTGAGTTAGTGTAATCATTGATTTTATTTTAGGGTTTCCCCAGTACATGATGTTATCAGAAAAAACACACCTTCCAATCAGTTCAAAGCTGCAAAAGTTAGGTCAGAAATCAAAGCAGCTCCCAATTCACAACTGGGTATAAAAGTTAGCTGTTTGGTAGGAGGGGTGCTTGGAACTTGGAATGTATTTTTTCTATATGGAAAGGATCTTATACACGGCTTGTATTCTCACCTACACAAACCTATTTAACCCATAATTAAAGTCTGTTAATTCCTAAAGTCAGTAAGAAAAGACCAACAATCTAATGTTTAAAGAGGGAAAATACAGGAACATAATAGTTTATAGCGAAGTAAATATAGTCCAGCCAGTGTGGCTTAGTTGGTCGAGCACTGTTTCATGCACCAGGAGGTTGCCAGTTCGGATTCCCAGTCAGGTCACATGCCAAGGTTGCAGGCTCAAGCCCCACTATAGGGTATGCAGGAGGCAGCTGATTGATGTTTCTCTTTCATCCATGTTTCTATATCTCTCTTCCTCTTTCTTCCTCTCTCTAAATCAATAACATTTTTAAAAGAATGTAAGTGGTCATTAAATATATGAATAGATATTCAATATCATCAAAAGGAGAAATACAAATTGAAACTTCAATAATATAACATGGATACTAGTGATAACATATGGCTTTTAGTAGGATGTAAAGAAACAAGCCCTCTTATATATTAATGACAGAAATGAAATTTGACACAACCTCTAAGGCAAACATTTTGCATATATGTCAAAATGCACATACACTTTAACCCAACAAATCCAGCTGTATGAATTTATCCTCCAAATATACTCAATGTAAGAAACTTCATATATATCAAGATATTCATTTTAGTCTTTATTTTATTAGAAAAAGGCAAATAGTAGGGCCTGGTCCAATTAATTATGAGAAACTAAACAATCAATTAAAATTATTATATGGAATAATATTCAGGATGCACCATTAAATTTTAAAAGTTAAGCAAAGAACATTATGTATGGTATGCTTTCATTTGCTTAAAAATATGTGGTGTGTATATATATATATGTGCATATATATATATATATATATATATACACTCATATTGAGAGAGATGCTTACATATTTATAGAGTATCTTAAGAAGGACATAGAAGAAAGAATACCTAAAGAACATTAGTTGCCTCTGGGTAGACTGATTAAGGACAGGGATTGGAGACTATAACTTTTCACTATATATCCTTTATGCCTTCTAAATTTTAAGTCTGTGCATATATTACCTATTTCTAAAAGTATTTTGTTAGTAGTAACCTTAGTAACATAATTTACATTTAAACAAAAAGTAAAATGCATTATAAGTGAGAACAGGGTGCCAAGAATAAATCTCCCTCAATGAACATGTTTGTCA